TCGAGGAAGCCTTTCCTGACTTTCCTTAACTGGGTCAGGTTCCTCCAGTTCTCATAAGACCATTTAACACCTCCTCAGAGCTCTTACTTCAGTTTTTAATTACACATTCATTCTTTTCGTTATTTAATTAATGTCTCCCTTTACGTCGGGCTTGTCAGTTCCATGATAGTATAAATCAATGTCTTGCTCACTATGGTATCCCAGTGTCTGGCAAAATGCCTGGTGTCTAATAGGCACTTGATAAATATTTGTTGAATGAGTGAATGAATATAATTTAATTATGTTTACTTGACTGTCTCCTTCATTCGTCTCTAAGACCTTGGGCTATTCCTTTTCCCCACCTAGACCCAGCACTTAGCAAATGCCTGCACAGAATCAGTGTCCTATGGGTGACTGAATACCAGGCCAGTTCCTTCTCAGGGTCCTAGTGGAAGCATGTTATCAGGAGACTCAATCCTCAGGTATTAATAGAAAAACTAAGCCAAGAGCCTAAGTGCATTTTAATTGGGTTAAAATTAGGCTAGAATATCCCATCCTCGGTTAAAAATAGGCCCAACCCTGGTTCCCGTCTTGTAGAAGACACTTCCTTACATCTTCAAAAGAAGTGTTATGGAAATTAAGAATCTAAAGGAAGATTTCAGACTTTTGGTCTCAAGTCTGTCCTTCTTATCTGACCCAGAGAACGTCTGTGTGGTCTGGTTTTACTATTTTTGCCAGGGAATGTCAGGCTGGCAGCGACCCACTTTACACCCTCTGGTGAAGGAAAGTCTGCCTGAAGAGGGGGCGACAGTGTGTTCTTCTTTCTCTTTTTCCTCTACTCCACCCTCCGTGATCTGTACCAGGTCTGAGGTAGGAACATACCATGGCTGACTGGCCTGGGATAGCATCTCAGCGTGCTGTCCCCAAGCCAGTTCTATTCCCCGAGCTGAAATCTCATCTTCCAAAGTTGGCAGTAAACCGTGGATGTGGCCTGGGATGGACTTGATAGTGGTGTGCAAGTTTGTAAAAGCCAATTATTAAATATTCAGGAATTTTTGCGAGCCAGTTGTTAAACCATTAGTAGCTTGATATCAGCCCTGGTGAGACTATTTACACCACAAAAATTGGCAAATACTACAAATCAGGGCTTTTTTTTTCTTCTCAATTTCTATCCTTTCTTTCCCTTCTGTTAGTCTCCCTACCCTCCTCCACCACCCCCCTTCTTTATTTTCTCTGGTAGCTGGTTTACCAACATACTACTGAGCTTGGGTTTGAGTCCTGGCCAGACACTTGCTAGCAAATTACTCAGTTTTGCAGTCTCAGTTTCCTCATCTGCAGAATGAGGTTTCATAACAGCAGCTATTGCACAGAATTGCTTTAATAGTTACGTGATAATACACAAAAAGTGCTGAGCCCTATACTTGAAAACTTGTAAGCATTCCATAGATGTTAGTTTGGTTACCATACTCCACGTATCATATTGTTTAGTTTTGTCAATCTGCACTATTCATTTTGGATTGAACAGACTTGATTTTAAACATTGAGTAATATTTTGGCAATATTTAAAAAATATCGTTTTCTATATATAGGTTAGAAATTTTCATTATCACTTATATGTAATGAATGTCTCTTCTCATTTGCTTGGGTGCTAACTAGGATATATTAGGAAAAACAATATTTCATCATTTTTTGTGTTACTGTCCAGGATGACAGAGAACCTAGGGTTCAATAGTCTTTCTTGTCTGTTCTTTAATTTCAGATCCTTTTAATTCTAAAGAATCCCAAGTCACTGATAAACTGTGTCCTGGCTTCCAGAATCAAATATTATTCGAGGGAGATCAAGATGTCATACTCTAGAACAGTGATGGCGAACCTATGACACGTGTGTCAGAGGTGACACGTGAACTCATTTTTTTGGTTGATTTTTCTTTGTTAAATGGCATTTAAATATATAAAATAAATATCAAAAATATGAGTCTTTGTTTTACTATGGTTGCAAATATCAAAAAATTTCTATATGTGACATGGCACCAGAGTTAAGTTAGGGTTTTTCAAAATGCTGACACGCCGAGCTCAAAAGGTTCGCCATCACTGCTCTAGAATGCCAACAACTTTTATTCAGTACCTGCCATGGGTAGAATCCTGCAGATGTCCTGGAAACTTAAAAAAGAAAAGAAAGAAAAGGAAAAAGGAAGGCCTGAAATCCCTAGTCCACAATTATAATATGCAAAAGGCTCTGAACACTAGAAGTTCTTTCCTAACTCAAATTGTGGCAAAACATGACCCAAACTCTCCTCCAACTAAAATCTGTATTCCACTTTGTGTTAATATTTCTATAATCCAGTGCAGAATTAGTAACATGTTTGATTGATTATAGCGTACTGTCCCAAACCTCACTGGAGTTGTTCCATAATATACAATATGTGTACCATACTGCCTTTCTAAAATCTCCAAAATTCTGATTCGAAAATAGACCTACCCCCAAGGCTTTTCAGATAAAGGGATTCTGGACCTGTAGCAGAAATCACAGCGTCTGCCTTGAAGGAGTTTACACTCTGGCCATACGAGATTCATCAAGACATGCTTCAGAAAAGAGGGACATAGAAGCCTGGACCAAGTAGCTGGCAGGAGCGGGGGTGGTTATAATCCAACTGTAGCACCCAGCAGTTCTCCTACCCCTAATGAAGAGCAGAAAATCTGAGCAGACAACTGCCACCCCTAAGGCTCTCCTCCAATACCCTGAATTTCCTCCCTTGATTCTGCATCTTTAATTCTCTGCAGTCTGGCTCATCTACTCCCAAAGCACTTCTCCCCGTCGAGCATTGTTCAGTCGGAGGTCAGGAATTCTTCCAAGTGCTTAGGGAAAACAGCCTCCACTCCGAGGAAAAATGGTGCACTCCCTGGCAGTGGCGTGTGTGCTCTGTTCTGTCTGAACTTTAATGCTCACCCCCCCCCCCGCCCCCCTTCCAGAGCGTCCTGCAGGCTCTCCGCCATCCTGAAGAGCTGCACACATCTTAATGGAAATATCCTTCCCGCAGACCGATGCTTCCTGCCTCAGGGCCTGGAGCCAAATGCAAAGTGATTCTGCAGAGGCGCTAGCAGCGCTCGCCCCTTCTCCCAACCTCTCTTACTGATGTGGCTCCAGCAATCTCTTGAATCTGTGGTCCAGGTTACAATCTCCAGAACCAGCTCAGCAAGGACATTTCTTTCTTGGAGTTGGCAGACCTTTCAGCTCATAGGAAGATGGTCAGTTTGCTGGGTCTTTCTTATTTTTCTTATCTCCTGACCCAGAAATGTTGGCTTCTCCAAACTCAGTCTTTTGAAGTATGTGTTTGTTATCTCTCTGAAAATGCCAAGAGCTTGTTGTTCTTTATGTTTCCCAATAGCCCGCTTTAGACATACCAGAAATAATAAAATATGCCCATAAATAATGAGATAGTAACCCTTTCTCCAACATTTACTTTGTGTCTCATACATTATTTTAATTCTCAAATAAATTCTGTTAAGTAGACATTGCTTTTTTTAAATTTCTTCCTCTGTTTATTTATTTACTTATTTTTTATTTTTTTATTTTTTTAGGCTGGGAGGTAAATGAATAGAGTAAAATATTCTATTCAGTCACCTATCCTAGCTGGTTCAATGTCCCAACGTGTAGTGAACAGAACAGAGATACTGCCCTGAACTGAACTCGAGGCCTTTGCTTTCTCAGCCCCCACTCTGCAGCCCAAGACCAGCAGTGCAGAGAGCTTCAACCATTTCCCTAAGGCAGTGGTCGGCAAACTCATTAGTCAACAGAGCCAAATATCAACAGTACAACGATTGAAATTTCTTTTGAGAGCCAAATTTTTTTAACTTAAACTATATAGGTAGGTACATTGTTATTAACTTAATTAGGGTCCTCCTAAGGCTTAGGAAGAGCCACACTCAAGGGGCCAAAGAGCCGCATGTGGCTCGAGAGCCTCAGTTTGCTGACCACTGCCCTAAGGTCACACAGCGAAATGAGTGTTAGAGCTGAGATCTAAAGGGAGGGTTTTCTGACTCTGGAGTCCATGATTTTAATTGCCAAGGAATGTGGGAAAGAGAAGAGAAATCCACTGGACTGAGTAATCCTTAGCTTCTCTATGCTTTTTGCCCCACCAGCCTCCATAACTCGCACAGTCCTGTTGACGGTGTTCTAAAGGAGATACGTGTTGTCGTTGGAGTCTGCATGTTCCTACCTTGGCACACAACCATCCTCTTTCACAGCCGTACAGTGACCTCTTGATTGCCACTCTCTTGCTTCCCCTGAATGACCCAGAGTCACCCAAGTCCATCTTGACCTTTGTCACACTAGAGTCACTTGCCATTGATCGTTAAAGAGCTGGGGCCAGGCCAGGGACCACTGGAGGTGGTGGTGGTGGTGGGGTACTATGTGAATGGTCCTACTAGGTTGGAAACACCATGAAAAAGGCAAGTTCTCACAACCTGAGAGTCATAGACCTGGGGTTTTGGCTTCTGCTGTTTCATTAACCCCTTGTGTCATTTAATGTTTCTGACCCTCTGCTGCCTCATCTGTCAAAGGAAGCTGCTACGAGTATTGATGTGGTCACGGGCCACGAGGAAAGAACGAGGCAGGCCCAGGAAGGGCCCTGCATACAGAGAGTGTCTGGGAAATAGAAGGAATTGTTGTTGAAGTATCAGTGTGTTGAATATTGACGTTTTGATAGCAATTGGGCTTTCACAAAGCATTTTATGTGAGTAAACAAGCATCTGCGGGTGCCTGTTGTGTAGACACTACATTAAGCGCTTTATAATCATTTTGTATTTGCTGTTCCTTCTGGCATACGGGTAGATGCACCCGTTCCCTTTTGCTCCAGCTGAGAGAACTGTCAGCTGAGAGGCTGGGCAAATCTGTGGTTTAGCTGCGAATGAAACCCTCAGCCCTGAGACATCAGGTTGTTGTGTCGCCCTCTGTAGGCAGCCCCATTTCCAGGAGCCCCAGGCTCACCAAAACATTAAAAAAGAAAGAGGACAGAACTCACATTTCTGCCAGACAGATGATATCCAGGCGTCTCTGGAAGAATGGTTAGCAGTCCTGGTGTGCGGTTTCAGGTTTTAAGGTGCTTGGATACAAAGGAGGAATGTAAACTCCACGGAGCTCATTTCACATGTCAGAGTCTATTCTGGTTCTTGAAAGTGGGCCCAGAGGCCCCGCTTCGGCCCGGGAGCCACATTCCTGCAGAGGCGTTTAGCAGCACGCAGAGCAGGACTCCAGCAGGGCAGGGCCCAGGGTTGCAAAGGGACCCAGTGAGAGCCACAGCCAAAGGGCAGGAAGAAAACAGTCACCTGCCCCGGAGCCAGCCTTCTAGTGACTAGTTTCTGGAGCGCCTACATTAGACTAGTATAAACCTTGCTTCCTTTCACATTTTTTCTTTTTAAGGACTCTGGCTAATTTTAGAGGTTTTACTTGCCAACTCTCTCTGATCTCACATGAAAAGTCCAAAAGCGGCCATTCTCCCATCCGCACTGTTTGCCCTGTTTCAGCACGCCCGATGGCTCACGTGGTCCCGTGGCCACGTCACTGGTAGTCCACACACAGCTCCGCACGCAACCCAGCTGTAGGCAGGGACCAGGTGGGTTTATGGGAAGGAGATGGTGTTTGTTAAGGGATGAGCTGAAATCTTGTATCCAAGAAGCTAAATAAGAAATAAATCTGCCTTGGGTATCTAGCATCTCCAGGGTGGTGCACATTGCAGACAAGATGACACTTATCAGAAAAATCACTGGGATTGGTAGATGCTGATAACCACGACAGCACACTCATCTGTCAAACTTGGCCTCTCAAGGGAGTTTTCCTTCGTTTTGGCAGGGTGCTCCAAACATGGTTCCAACTCCTCGTGATTTCCCTCCTGGTTTATTTCTTTCTTCTCACTGACCTTTCCAAGCCATTTATATTCCCCACTGTCCATTCCTCCCCTCTCATGTCTTTTATATCAAAGCACCACTATATGGGGTGGGGCTGTTTGAAAAATGGCGAATTTTTACGTTATTGGCCTTCGAAAGCAGATTAGGCAACAAAAGTCAGGAGAAATGTCAGGGTGACTTCTGCCATGCTTTTGCACATAACTGCTCTCAGCTTTTAAAGATTCTACATTCCTGGGCTCCTCCTTAGTTCAGAGGGCTCCTCTGGAATTTGATAAACCTAGACATTTAGATGGGCCCGTGGGGTAGGGCAGACAGAAGGCAGGACATTTCCTAATGTTTTTCGTGGTGCTGTATTCTTGAACCCTCAGTGGTGTCAATCACTTTTCTATAGGTCTGTTCATGAAATAAATCAGTAAATAAATAAATAGGTGTTGTACTTCAAAATTGCCCTCCATAGGAGTTGTGAAATTTCACATTCTGTAGGGAGTTTAATTGATTTGATGTTCAAAAATGTTTAGCACTGAATTTTCAGCAGCGTGGCTATGATGAGCTTCCCTGAGTCTATGTCGGACCCACCGTATCTAAGATAGTTCTCATCATTTCCCCATCCTCTACCTCAGACCCAAATTGTATCTTGTGTAACATTTATGATTCCACTTATGTGTTTGTTTACTTGTTACTGTTGGTCTCGCTCCACAACACCACACACACACACACACACACACACACACACACACACACACACAGATCTGTAAGCCTCATGAGGACCCGAATCAGGTTTGTTTTGCTCACATTATATGTCACCACCTAGATCTGTGCCCGACACATAGTAATTGCTCGATAAATAATTGGGAACAAATGAATTTAAAAAGTCTGTTCTCAAAAAGCTGTTGGGTTTTTAAAAAGTAATTTACCAAAAATTAATCCCTATGGAAAAGGGAATAAGGTTAGTTTCCCTTTTCTGCAGATCCTTTTCAGTTTGGTGAATAGTGTTTGTCTGAGAATTGTGTTTACAGAGGAGGGGGTCGGAATCAGTGGTTATCCATAGAGTGGGGAGAAGGAATAGTGTGAGGCCTGCCACTTTCCCCCCTCTCTTTATCCATCCTTTCTTTCTTCCTATATTTACTAAATGTTACTCAAGTATATGCCAGGCATAGTAAAATAGGGGTAATAGTATACCTACCTCATGGATTGCTGTATTTAACGGTTCTTGGCAAAGTACCTGGAAAATGGAACATTTTCCATTAAGAACATGGAAAATGCTAGCCATTAACATTATTATCAGAAATATTTATGGAGCAACTCTTATGCGCCTTCTGTTTCAGACTCTCCAGAATAAGGAGAAAAGATAATGTCTAAATCACCAGGGGCTTGTGGTGATTTATGTCATCAGTTTTCTTTCCATAATATCTGTTTTCAGAGCAGAGGGTTATATGGTGGCCTCTTCCTTTTACAGGGGGGTCAGCTAGCCAAGGACAAGAGTGAGGAGAGTTTTGAATGAAGACACAATGCCTACTACTGATATTTTTCCTTTTACCTCAGGCTCATTGTTTGACTTGGCCCAGCACTGTTACCGATCCTGTCTTTTTTTTTTTTTTTAAGTTGATATTTGTTCGTCATGGGTTGTTTTTTTTTCTGCATGAAATTTGACTTTTTAAAAATATTGCATTGAAATACCATTTCTGAGTAAATTTTGCACCTGAAGCAAGTACCTCCCTCATCTCACCCTAGTCCCAGCCCTTTTAATTAGTCTAAGTTTCTCTAATCTCTCAATATTGAGCCCTTCGACTCTAGTAGAGTTAGCAAATTTAGGTACTTATTATCCACCCTGTGCAGTTCACCGTCAGCTCCTGTCTGAACTTCTGAAACGGCCCTCTCTTTTGTTCTGGGCTCCTCTGATCATTTCTATACACAAAGCCAGAGGGATTTTTAAGAAGCCTACATCAGATTGGCCACTCCCTCTTTCGAAACCTGCTGTGCCTTTCCATTTTCATGAACCCTTACCATGGCCTACAAGACACCGTCCGGTCTGGCCTTACCTCCTGCCACTCCCTCCCTTTGCCCACTGCATACCAGCCACTGCTGTCTTCCCTGGGATCCTTGACCCAGAGTGGTCTTCTCCACACGCTGCCTTCATGCAAATTGCTCGCCTGCCAGCAATGTCTTTCCCCAACACGGTCCACTGCCTTGGCTCCTACTCGCCTTTCAGATGGCAGCTGATGCACCACCTCCTCGGGTCTACCCTCACCTCCTGACCTGAGTTCTGTCCCCCCTCTGCCTTCATTATTCTGTTTTGTTGCCTCCTGTTCTCTTCCTTTCCAACATGTCCCATCATTTGTAATTCATTAAATATCCACCCACGTATTTACTTGTTTGATGTCTATCTCCCTCACTAGACTGTCAGTTCCCGGCGGGCCATGTTTAGTCACCACCTTCTCCTCGGTCCCTAAGCGCTGCCTGGCACAGAAGATTTGCTCACCTATCTGTTGAATGAATGAGGGAGGGAAGGGAATGAGTGAACAGATCCGTCTTCAGCCTGTAAAGTCATGACCTAAGGATGCTGCCACACACTAAGAGACTTACTTCCATGTCCCATTCTGCTTTCTGTCGCAATGAACTTTGCTCTTCTAAAGCAAGTGTTTTTCCACTAGATTATTTTTATAGAAAAAAGTGAAGCAAATATAGAGATAATTATTGATTCTCACTCACGAAGTTCCTGCTCCCTATCACCAACATCCTCCTGAAAGCCTGCTGCTGGATTCCTGGGGACCACAGGAAATAAGTCCGCTGAGCACTTGAAACGCCGTTACTAAAATAGACCAGACTTGACCTTCCTCCTGTGGAAGGGCCTCTTCCTCAGGGAAAACCTTGCAAAGAAATTTTATCTGCTCTTAGGTGCTTCCTTCTGCAGTCATCCTCCCAGCGGCATTATCTGCACATGCTCTGAATCCTGTTCTGAGATTGTCCCCCCACAGCCTAGGTCACCGCCTGAGCAAATTGCTCATTTTATATATATATATATATATATATATATATATATATATATATATATATATTCTGATCATTTATAACTTGACTTTACTCAATACATTAGGTTTTTTCCTTATTAATAAACATAAATCTATACCTCCATTTGTAATGGCTGCATAGGGTTACACTATGTGGACATGCAAAACTATGTTCATTAATCCCCTTTCATTGAGCATCTAGGCGGGGGACTGTGTGTCAGTATTATAGACATGGGTCTGGGTTGGGCTGGCACCTACAGCCTCAACACGCCTCCTGGGGGATTCTGATGCACACCAGAGTGTGAGAGTCCTGGTCTGGGGTAGCCTTTCCCCCCCCATCAAGATAGAGGAAAGGAATTCAGCCTGGAAGGGAAGGGCCAGCTTGATTATTTTCGTCCCTTTAGCAGAGTCACGGAAATATCTCCAAATCTACTCTCCTTGTTTTCTTTAAAAGCAGGAGCCCAGGGGACACTGCCCATTTTGATGTGTTTATTTTTTTCTCTTTCTTTCCATTACTCATATTTTCTTTACTGAATTATTGTTTGTCCCTGCTCGGGGGGGAGAAGAGAAAACAGGTGAGGCGACATGGGTGCAGGCTCCAGGTGCTCCTCGCCCTGCTCCGCCACGTGAGGCGGGGCAGGAGGGCTTCCTGTCTCTGCAGCGAGAGGCCCAGGCCTCTGGCAGGCACCCCAACACGTCTTGACTTAATTTGGGTGGGTGGCTCCAAGGCTCTGGTTTGCGGGTTATGGTGGCACCTGATGGAAAGGCCCAAATCTCTCTACACTGAGCTAGAAACCAGTTTGGGAGAATTAATGGGCATCTAATCACAATATACAAGCCCATGATAAGATGAAATCAGGCCTCCAGGGTGAGGAAGGTCACATGGCTCAGAATTTCAATGAGGTTCTGTTATGTTTGTGTTTCTCTCTGCCTCTTATTTTATTGGTAAAGTTGTTCCCAGCTTTTCAAAGATCTGAGTACTCCTTCATTCACTTGACACATATTTAATGAGCACACCTACTTAGAAGGCCAGACTGCATTCTTTCTGGAGAAAGCCAAATCACTGTGTGTTGGACCATGGGGTTTTGAGCTGCCTTTTGACCGGGATGTGGAAAGAGTTGCGGTCCCCTCGGCCAGGCATGAGGAATATAGTGGGGAACAGGACAGACTGGATGAGGCCCTCTTGAAGT